AAAAACCAGCAAATTAACAAAGAAAACTCGTTGCATAGATTCAACTATATGAATTTAATGACAATAAAAATAAATAAAAACGGTTGCTTATTATTCATTCAATCTTTTTCAACACACAGACCGAGGTTTTCATCATTATCTCGAATATTAATGAGAATTTCAAAAAATGACATCTCAAAAGTACCACCGAATGGAACATTTCCTTTCATAAAAGGTGCTAGACACGGTAAACGGAGTATGTTTTTTTATTGAAAAAGGGTTCACATTAAAAAAAAAAAAATAATAAACAACATTGTAAAACCAATATATTCCTCGCTCCACCCAAAAACTAACACAAAATAATATATTAACGTTTGTCGACCATAATTGTTATATTTTTTGTAATAAATCAATACAGAAATTTTTGAAAAAATGTCATTATCATTCTGTTGAAATATGAGTACATCATTGAAATAATAATACTTTGCTGATTACCCGGAAACTCCCTATTAGAGAAGACGGGTCGTATAAACGACCAATAACTAGTTATCGTATCGGTAACATTGTAATCGGTTTAATAAAGTGTTTGGCTGTTGCAAAAACGACTTATACTTTTTATGGATTCGACAAATAATGTCTTATAGATTCGATAAGTTAGATGCCCGATTATGGTTCGATAATTAATAATATCGGTCCCATATCTATTTATTGAACTTATACTTACTTGTTGGTTATTGAATTAATTTATCCCGTGGTTGTACATTTTATTCGTCTTTTTTATTATTTATTTAATTAATAATGTATCTAAATACATCATTTCGAAAAGATGATAACAAATAACGACCGATGTATCATTTATTGAATATACAACAGTACTACGACCAGGGTAAGTTATCAAAGATTTTTGCAATAGTTATGTACTCTATGGAAACGATAAAGATATTTGTATATTAGTTTTTTGACCGGATAGCAATCCTTATTGAGCTGTTTTTATCGATCGTTTGTGCAACTCAGTGTTACGGTTGATTTTGACTTCCCGACCATTTGTACTGTCGGAGTCGAAAAATTCTTCGGGTGTTTTTTGACTCCTTTATGAAAATTTGATATAACTTGGTTTATTTCGACTTTTTTCCTTTTAGTATTTTCCCTAAGGCTCGCTGATTCTGTTCTATACATTTATTTCTTATTTTTACAATTTTAATTAAATAGTTGATTACCTTGCGAAATTTGTTTGATTAACGAAATTGAAATACTACATAGATAGGTACTATTATATTGATTTTATTGATTGAAAATTTACGCGATTGTCTTTTACGAAACATACAATCTGTTATCGAAATTCAAAAATATATTCGCCTTGTATTTGTCGTGTATGAGTAGTGTGCGTGTGTCTGTGTGTATGGGTGCTAATTTATATAAAATGTCTACAAAACGTTATAGCTCTATGTATCCTGGGATATGGGTACATTTTAATGCGAATAATAATAATTATCATAATTTATAATCATATTGCTAAACATTGATAATATATGTTCACGATGTTTCATTCGGTCAACTAATAGGATTTCTGTTTCATTCCATTTCGAGTAGGCTATCTTGCAACAAGGACAGCTTCAACGTTAAAAAAAATATTGTCGCTGTAAAGTATTCTCGTTATTGTTTATTATTAAAACTGTATTTACATACAAATAAAACAATTATTCGTATAGTACCCATCGTAAAAACACGACTTAAAGGAAAACGTATCAAAGCAAGGTCATAAATCATAATAATATAATTACTAAGTAATATAAAACATTTATAAAGTCGTAGAAACATGTAATATTTATTTAAAATACATTCAAATAGTACCTACGTATGTGGTGTTTTACTTTCACTAATAAAAAAATACCATACAAATTAAGCAGGTATTAATGAAAACCGTAAAATAAGTAGATAAAAGGAATATGAAAAAAATCAGCGAGCGTTAAGGAACATTGGAAAAAGGAAAAATGTGAAACAAACCAAATGATATCGACTTTCCATCAGGGTGTCGAAGAAAACCCGAAGAATTTTCAAAGTTCAAATTGTTTGGGAGTCGAAATCTACGATCATACCGTCAATAGCTAATAACAATTTTAACTCATAAAATATTGTTTGTACCTAAGTAGGTATCTACTCAATTTGTGCCGAATAAAAATAAACATATTTGATTATATGGTTTTTATACATACCTATACAAATTTAGATTTCTAACAAGACTCTCTAGAACTCTAAACACTCATATATAGTTCCGTAGAAAGTGTAATGTATAATTTCGTAGATTCACTAATCATTAATATAAAGACACTGAAATAACGATTTTCGTATAAGAAAATGGTATAATAAGATAATAAAAAGATTGTCTTACTTTAAATGTACAGTTTAATGAGTAATAAAATTATATACAATTACAATTTATAAAAAAATGCAGCAGGAATATAAGTATATTTATACTTCTCAATGTCATATTAACATCAATACACATAATAAATACTTTATTTTTATTGTAATGTTGTAACATATCACAACATAATAGTTACAATAAATAAAAGTGTTTATATAATTCTACTAAATCGACAAAAATTGTAAAAAATACAATATTAAAAGTAAATAGTTTAAGTTCTTATTAACAAAAATAAATAGCAGAGACAGTTTGAAATAATTAATGAAAAAGCTATACTTAAATGTAGAAAATTATATTTAAGGTAAATAAACAAATATGTTGATGTTTTATATTTATTTAGTTTGGTTTACAATATTCAATTTTCTATTAATACAATCAACTATTCGCACCAACCCGAGTACAGGTTCCCCAAGGGATTCAGCTATTTTGGCTAAAACTTTGGGATTAAAATAACCCAATTGTATAACTTCATGCAAAAATAAAACAAAAATTGTAAAAAATACAATATTAAAAGTAAAAAGTTTAAGTTCTTATTAAAAAAAAAAAAAAAAATAGCAGAGAAAGTTTGAAATAATTAATGAANCTTAAATGTAGGAAATTATATTTAAGGTAAATAAACAAATATGTTGATGTTTTATATTTATTTAGTTGCATGATTATCATTATTTAGTTCGGTTTATAATTTTCAATCTTCTAAATCGGGATTATAACCAATTATTTGCAACGCCCCGAGTGCAGGTTCTGGAATGGACGGAACCATAACTTCCGGATCAATATTATGCAATTGTTCAACTTCAGGCATTAAGTCGGTAGGCAGTCTGTTTTCCATGAGTTCACAACATATGTGAATAGGATTATCTCGAATAAATCCTTGAATACATTCTTCAAAATTTCGA